CAACCACTGTGCCACCAGGGAAGCCCTAAGCCACTTTTTTTTAACAACAACAGTAAATCACACACAACAAGACAATACCGATGGTTAGCATGCAAAATAAGCTCTTTTAAAAACTAATGTTCAGAATCTTTTGAATCAAGAAGAGACCCAGTTGTATCTACGAAGAAGGATTTGCACTAAGGAGATGCCCTCTCAGCAGTGACTCACTGTTAGATACTTGACGTTGTGACAGACGCCCAGGTGAGGAACATGGGGGTGGCCAGAGGCCTGAGCCAGACACCAGGTGCCAGAGGCTTCTTTCCTTTCCCTTCCCTCTCCAAGAGCAGATATGAGATCTGAAGTGAGTAGATCTTTCTAAACTAGCAGGAACAGCCATCCTCAGTTGACCCAAGGTTCAGCCCTGGGTACAGATATGAGGACTCATTTCCATTAACTAGTTGTAAAGTTAAAAATCAAAATTTCAAATCTAAACTTTCCGAATTAAAAGAGTACATCTAATCGTTTGTCCGATTGCTGAAATTAAGAGATTGGAAATTAGAACATTTTTAGTTATACGTGAAATTGTGTTGTTGCTGTTCCCAGAAATTGAATTCTGTTTCGTGTTTTGAGGATTTGGGATATGCAGCTCTTTGAAATGTCCTTGAAAAGAACAAAGAAATTTAAGTCTCAGTCTTGCTTCACTGTTTGGTTAGTTTGTACTCTACAGCAGTAGTGCTGACCCTGGGGTAATTTGGTCCCCCAGGGGGCTTTTGGCAATGTCTGGAGACTCTGTTGGTGGTCACAAGTGAGTGGAGAGGGCTCTACTGGCATCTCGTGAGTGGAGGCCAGGGCTGCTGCTAAACATCGTGCAATGCATGGACAGCCCCTGCACCAAAGAATCATCTGGCTCAGGATGTCAGTAGTGAGAAAATCTGCTCTATGTCAAGTCGTTACATGCCCTAAAGCAGTGAACCGGAGTTTCTGAACCGTCATGAATGGTAGCGTCCGACAAGAAACGCCTTCTTACTTTAAGCAACCTTAAGAAATAATGTGTTGAGTGATCACTGTGGTTACGGCCCAATGTCACTTCTTCACTTTCCTGGCTTTTTTTTAGCTCCTACTTTCCTTTCGTATAAGGAATGAAAGCTGTATTGGTATGTTAGTTCAAAACATGTATTCCTTATTTCTGCTGCTCGCATGAAAATCGTTACCTTTGCACAGAAGGGAGATAGGAGTATTTTTAGCGGAAGTCCACTAACCTTAAGTCTTAACCTTCCGACTGTGGCTGAAGCGTC